ATTATATGGGCACATATGCATTTGCAATTCTTCATAAACTCGAATTTTCGTAACACTGACATCAAATTTCAGATATAAAACGAACAACGTAAAACCTATGCTCAGTACATCATGTTAAGTTTTGATACCTTCAGAGATGGAACAAGATCTTATTTGGTTTATTTGAAAATTAAAGTAAAATTAGACCAGTGCAATGTGGACGTTTTAAATAATAGACGACACCCCCCCACCCCGCCTCACACACACACAAAATAATAAATACCAATCAAAACATAGAAAACATTAGAAGAGCAGAAAAACTGAGTTGGAGGCATAATGTCATTTATTTTATTTATAGTTTGCTCTAAAAAATCTCAAAACGTCTCTTGGCTCTTAAATTTAAAGAAGAAAAAAAAAAGGCTATCAATTAACAATCACGTACAAAAATCATTACACCTAAACGAGTGCCAGCACAAGCAATGTTGGCCACTTCACTTTAAGAAAAAAGGGATTGAGATACCATAAAAGGATGACAAATGTGAGACAATACACAGTTATACCTTGCATATCTTGGCCCCATGCTCGTAAATTATCTAGAAGGACTGCTTTGGAGGTCGAAGGGCACTTTTCAAGGTCGCATTGTGACCAGTTACGAGATGTCCAGACTCCCCCGATGCTTTCCTCAAGGAGATATGTCTTCCTGTTGGCATACACAACACATCACCATCGTGCTTCGACAAAAGTTTACCTCATCTATCATACATTATAGTCATGGAGAAGAAAAGAAAACCTCTATAAGGGCATTTCTATTCCTCATTTCTTTTCTCATAACATTGAAATTTGTTGGCTCATTTTTTGCTTTTTTATTATGAGGGGGTAGGACATCGATAAGTGGCGTCATAAGCCATTGGCCAGTTTGATTAAGGGCAAGAATGAGTTTTATCATTTAGGAGTGTTTGTCAAGTTTCTAACTGCTGCCGGCGAGTGAAGAAGTAGATCTAACCGTCTCATGATTTGTACGTTTATGTGTTGTATTCAAAATATGCCATGGTACAGATGCCGACACACAAATAATCAAGACAGGAACAAAGGATTAGCTAAAAAAGTGACAAACATTCCGCTTTCCCTAAAACATTGTATCATCCATTGTTGCTTTTAAAATATAATTAAGGGGCTCTCGTGGTCGAGAGGTTACGGTGTTCGCCTCTCAATCAACAGGTCCCGGGTTCGAATCGGAATAGCGACAGGACAATTTTTTCTCTCTAAAATGTCCCCCTGTCACCCCCTTTCCTGCCCTCTAACAATGTTCTGTCGTCTGCTTTCGCCTCCACTTTCTGCCCCCACCCTCACCTTCTTTGTCGCTACCTCTGAGCTCCCAACTCTTTCTGCAGACTTTTCACTGCTACTTCTCGGCTCCTTCTTACTGCTGTCTTTCAGTCACACCCCTTATCTTATGCTAGGTAAGATCTAACACAAACACCAGGTCAAAAATTCGTAGCGCAAATTTTTGTCAAATGTTTCCTTAACTATAAAAATAAATAGACTTTTCAGCTTTTGTACGGTGGCTTGTATCAATTTGCCTTACCAGATCAACATTTTTGTAAACACCTGTTAGCAGTATTCTAGAAAGTTCCTAAATACTTATTTAAAAATCCCAGTGGATAGTTTCTACAGATTCTAAAAGTAAAAGGTTTACAGCTGGGACAATTTCGCTTTTAAAAGCAAGTCCGTCGTTCTTTTCTTATCGCGACGTTATTCTTATTAAACGCACGTTTTGAGAACCTTTAGTGCAAAGAAATGTTCACTATAAAATGAATTTCTTGTAACAAATTTTGCAACTAAAAGGTGATATTGGCAAACTGTGAAGTAAGCCATAAGAGTATACAAAATGTGTGTGAGAAGCGGGAGGTGATGAACAATCTCATTTTGAGCGTGATGGAGATTTAAAGTACTTTATATACTTTTATAAAGAAAAAGTTTTTATATTATTCACCCTCAATGGTTGTGGAAAAATATGATTTAGTAGCTGAGACAACTTTTTACAAACTATTGTGCAAAGTATGGGTGACACTGATTCACCCGTTAAAGAGGTATTTGAGGATAAGTTGTGCCATGAATTTTTGACCGCACTTTAGCCTTCTTGGATAAGCGCAAAAAATCTTGGAGGTCACGTGTGCAAGTTGCCTACATTAAAGATCCTTGGTGCTTTAAATTAATAAGAGTAGACTGAGCAAAATTCAAATTTAACTCCAACCAAACTAAAAATGTTGTCCCACGCACTCATATGACCACATGCAATTGCAAGCGCCGTAAACACTTAGGCCTGCCAAAAAAAAAAATACTATTAACATCACGATTGTGTCACTGAATGTGGCACATGGGTTGATGAAGCAGCTATAGGTTTGAAGGGGCCACTTACCCGTGCAGCACGTCACCATAGGCGTAGTGGACATGTTTGGACATCCAGGGGAAGAGTTTGCCCCTGTACACATAGCCTCCCACCAGGGCGTGGGAATCTTTGTGGGCGAACTCGAAGATAGGCAAACCCTCGTTTACTGGGCGAGGATACAGAAACGTAGCTTTGTAAAGCGAATACAGGCGCAAAAACACTACCATGCTGATAAACACACACACAAACACACACACAGACACATACACACACACACACAGACACACACACACACACACACACACACACACACACACACACACACACACACACACACTACAGCTCTTCCCCCCCCCCCCCAAAAAAAAAATGAATGACCTAAGACCAATATCCTTAACATCCGTAGTTTTAAAATGTCTAGAAAAATTGTGATAAAAAGACTAGGAACATACATTGAACCCATCAAGGATCCCCCACAATTTGACTATCGTCATGGAGGAAGTGTGGAAGACGCCATTCTACTATTTCTTGACACCATACACTCAGACAAACCAAAAACATATTGTAGGATCCCGTTCGTTAATTTTTCTTGAGCCTTTAGTACTGTCCAGCCAGCAATTCTTTTACTTTTAATATGAAATTACATGCAGAAAACATAGGTGTTAACATCAATTTAATATTGAAAGGGAATTTTCTGACCAACCGAATCGAGTATGTAAAATCAAAATATTCCACATCGACACAAACCAAAACAAATACAGGGACCCCTCAAGGACGTGTTTTGTCAACAGTTTTGTTTACACTGTATACGAATGATTGTCAAATAAACAACAGTAACATCAAGTTGATCAAATGTGCGGACTATTCAACCATAATTGGGCTAATTCAGGATGACCATGAAGAAACTTCTTACCGGAATTTTATACTAAACTATTCTGAGTGGTGTGAAACTCATAAGCTGCTTTTAAATGTGAAAAAAACAACAACAAAAGAACTTGTTGGCATTAGAAAAAAGAACTTGCCACTGCAGCGAAGGAATTAAAAATGAAAACGCCGAGCAAGTGTCAGAGTATAAGGGTGATCCAAAAAAACCCGTTACAACTTGTTTTGTAAATATCTTCCTCCATACTGAAGTTTTGCGTTTCAGATTTGAACATAACGTTTGGAAGCCAAAAGGAATGTTTCTAATATGTATTTTAGATGAGTCCATTGAATGGTTTTGCTCTATACAGCGCATTAAAAAAACAACCCGTTTTCCACCTTGTCGCCATTTTCGTAGCAATGCGCACCAGTTTGCATTCGGCCTACCACTAAAAGTTGCAACAATCTCGCCATATAGCAAGCTACAGCAGTCTAACAAGTCAACAGAAGTCTGCAGATATTATTTTTCCCAAATGTTGTTTGCCTGCTGAGATGGTGGCTACGTTTAGTGAAGAGCAGAGATCTTTTTGTATTGAACATTACCTCTCCACAAACTCACCATCCCTGATATTTCGTAAGTTCTGCGCACGGCATGGAGAGAATGCTTAGGTGCCCTCAATACCTTTGGCGTCATGAAAAATAAAGTTCCGTCAGTTTGGATCTATAGCGAATCAGAACTAAAAAGTTCTTTAAAAATGACCACTTCAGGTCGAACACGCACCATGTGCAGCCCTTTAAACGTCACCAGAGTGCAGATTTCAGTAGTCGAGTCCCATGAGACGTCTGTCCATAGACGATCTGCAGCTAGGACTTTCCTACACCTCAACAATCTGCATTCTCATGGCAGATCTTAACCTACGACAATACCATGTTCATCTTCGCTAGGCCGAAATGACATGGATCAGAGCATGGCATTGGCAATGTGTTCATGATTCTTCGATTATCTTGTAAAGAGGGGTCATTTCCTCGATGACATTTGGTTTAGTGCAAAGCCCATTGTCACCCTGCGGGATATGTTAACTCTAAAAATGCTGTCTATTGGGCACCCCACTCCCTATTGTCTCTAGAAGTCACTTCATACTGAATAACTATGTAAGTGTATGTGGCTTGAAAAACTCATGGTTTAGCAGGTCCTCGTGTTAGGGCGCCATTGAACATTTCGAACGACGCAACGCGCTAAAAATGTGCCGAGTCCAAAGGAGGGAATGTGGAACACTGCTCTAGGAATTTCAGAATGAAATCATTAGGTTTTTAAAACTCTGTAAAAGAAATTAAATATTGTTTAATTATCACGTGGAGGGAAAATTAATGTCAAAGAGAAAATAAAAAAAAACGTCAACTAATCTTTTCATGACTTCCTTCACAAGATTTTTAAACATTGGTGAACTTTGCGTTTTTGGGTGCTTTTTTATTTTAGCCGTTTCCGTTTTCAAAACATGTTTCTTCTTCATGGATTTTACATCAAACAAATTCCTTTTGAATGAATTATGTCTGCTCCAAATTACAGCATTCTAGAACAATTTTTGCGCGAGATATTCAGAAAAAAAGTTGTAAAGTTTTTTTTGGATTACCCTGTATTTCGCTGTTACAATAGACAACAAACTCGACTGGCATGTCCACACTTCTCTCCGGCATAAAACGGTGAACAAAAGATTTTTTTCTTAAGAAAGTCATGCATTTTAAAGTTGATAAATCATTGATGTCCACATTCTATCATTCAACTACAGAAAGTTTCAATTTCTGTATAACAGCATGGGCTGGGAACACAAGCAACAAGATAAAGAAAAATTGACTCGATTAATACGAAAAGCCTGCAAAATTTTAACATCTACATCCCCCTATTTCGATGAAATATACAAAATAACGTGCACCAGAAAATTAATTCCAAATTTTTGGGCAATAAACATCCATTGTACCCTCAAATAAATAAATAAATAAATATATATATATATATACGTATATATATATATATATATGCAATATGTCTGCATTATTAAAACTGTACCTGTTTTGCTTGGTCCCCCCCCCCCCCCATCTCTCTCTCTCTCTCTCTCTCTCTCTCTCTCTCTCTCTCTCTCTCCCTCCTTCTCTCTCTCTCTCTCTCTCTCTCTCTCTCTCTCTCTCTCTCTCTCTCTCCTTTTCCTATCAATGTCTTAGCTGGCTCAAACATTTCCCTTGACAATCCCACGTCTAGACAATTTACCGCCCATCGGCCTATCAGTGAAGAAAACTCTCCCTTACCTTTCACAGGCTAGAACACGCTCATCATGCAGCGAGATAACATTTTGATAAGCTTGTCATACTAGCACTAGCACTGACTTCTTTAAAATTGGCCCCTTGACCTTGCTCACTCTGAGTTGCCCGGCCCCGCCTGATAAATAACGATAAGACCCCCTTTATCAGGCCCCTTTACTTAATACACGTACTTACTCAGTACAGTTGAACACTGCTATAGTAGGACTTTTGGTACAAGAAGAAAAATCCCGCTGTAGGCGAGTTCCCGCTTAGGAATGCAAAGGGGAAAATTACCGGAAAAATTTTCAGCTGATTACCTCCCTTCCATATTAAAAAAAATGCGCTTTAGATTAGTTGTCTTCCTTTTCTTGTCAACTTCGTTGATTATCTCGGCCTTTAATTCGAGTGAGAAGCATTTCCTTTAGGCTTTGTTGGAAGCCATCCTTTCCTCGGTCTCGCTGCTTGTACTGTCTATCGTTCCGGTAGGCCTACTGTAGAACTGGTGAAGTGGATGCGTGCGTATGTCTATGAGCATCAACGATCGCAATTCAGCGAATCAGGAATCACGCACTAAACGCTCTCCTCTTCATTTACTTTTTTGCTTAGCCCTGGGGCTTTGGCCTAACGCTCTCATACTGAGCGTCTAAGCTACGGCACATCACTTTTGGAGTGGCTCATGTAACGCGTCCCTCCACACCATCTTTCTCTGCCGCCTGCCCCACTTCACTCATCACTGGACTGGCTAAATAAAATCACAACGCCGCAACGCTGCCTGCCTGTTTGGAGCCCGCTTGGAGCCCGCCTGCAGCCCCCACAACCCCCTTCCCCCCAGCTAGAGCTCGCTCGATCTCTCCCGCTGTATCCGAGTTCGGGCCTTTCGTTGCCCGGCTAAATCCGAGCTCAAGTAATTGAGTTTACTTTAAAAAAGGGGATTCCCTTAAGGTCCCGCTGTAGCGGCTATAGTCATGTTCTACTGTACAGTCTTTAGACCCCAGTTGTTCCAGAAGAAGCCATCGAGGCGAAGCGTTAAGCTGTTGTAATGAACAATTTAAAAAAAATTACTGACGGAAAATTAATAAAGACTCTCTCTCCCCTCTCTGGTTTTTCAATTCTGTTTCTGCTGCTGCTGCTGCTGCCGTTGTTGTTGCTGCTGCTGTTGCTGCTGTTGCTGCTGTTGCTGCTGTTGCTGCTGTTGTTGTTGCTGCTGTTGTTGCTGCTGTTGCTGCTGCTGCTGCTGAAGATGATGATTGCGATAGGTTATCGCATTATGGTTTTGAACTCACCAATTGGAGAGCAAGTAGATGCTTTGTAACAGGCGTTTCCTTCCTTTATTGGCCAACCGTAGTTTTTACCCTCTTCGATGACGACAATCTCATCAAATAGAACTGTGCCAGTTTCAGCACAGAATATCCTGCCAGAACCTGGGAGAAAATTGTAGAAGGTACTTAGGTTCTGAAATGAATACGTGGAGTGAGGGATGATGATGATGATGATGATGATGATGATGATGATGATGATGATGATGATGATGATGATGATGATGATGATGATGATGATGATGATGATGACAAAAACAATGAAATTGGAGGAAAATGATTGTTCTGATGTTTGATACAACGTTACATGAAGGTGACGACTACAATGACAATGATAATGACCTCCTCTCCTTACGGAATCCAAAGAACAGCCCCACATGTTTCTGACACCCAGGGCGTAAATTTCATCTCCACCATCCTGGCTTCCTTTGAAAGGATTAGTGTCCGGTGTGGCGTACAGCTTGGCTGGGCCTGCTTCCCCAGGCAAGAAATCCTGCCCTTCCATAACCTGTATGCGGAGAACTTTGCCATGCAGCGTGTTCCTAGGGACAAGAGATATTTGTGTGCTAACTGTATAAATAGATGCTTTCTATAGAAGATGAGAACATGGGATACGGTCGCAGCAAGTATAAAATTACGAGTTTAGTCAAAACAGTCCAAAAATAAAGTTAAAATAAATAACTAGTGATTATTCAACTTCTTAAGAGCAGCACACAATACCCCATTGGGTGCATTCATTACAACTGATATTTCCCTGAAGGCATGACATGTTTAGTTTTGCCCATTGCGGGATGGGTTCTCTCGATGGCACGACTCGTCGCCTGAAAACAAACGCGTTTGTTTTTTTAGGCGACAAGTCGGGCGATCAGCCTGTGCCACGATAGCCGCTTTGCGTCCTCAATCTGGCTAGCAAATCAAACCGATTGTGCCAATGGGCACTGGGTATAAGTCGTATTCGCCAGTATCACCTGATGTCCCTCACAGCTCCGTATAGCCTGTCATGAGCAACAACGTTGACAGCGGGGCTGCGCCCGGGTAGAGCAACGTTGATGTAACCGTTACCGGCGAACAACGACCGGGGAACAACGACTAATATCATACGAAATTTCTTTGTTACAGGTAAACTTGGTGTAATCATGTACAGTATCGAATACAGCTAGACAAAATTGGCTGCATCAAAGTATTCAAAGATCCTGTAGCAGGCATGGGCAATGATAGTACATAACAAGATGGGCCACTTCTCTCTTTGAGCCAATTAAAAAAGTGTCCTCAAAATTTGGTGGCGCCCTCTTCACAAAAGCGCACTCTTTGCGAACAGAGTTACCCTACTTGAGTTTTAAAAAAATCAAAGTGAAACTAGCAAGTTTTGGGATAAATTTTGGAAGAACGCTTTTTTGAAATGGTTACGCTGACAAAAAACCTCTTCCGGAGGAAAGGGTGATGGTTTTCTTCGTTTAATTTGACTTTAGAATGAAAGGCGAGAGGTCATTAAAATTTTTAAAAAAACTAAAACTCCGCACTGAACGTACCCGAACTGCTGATGAACAGCAGTCGATCTGCGCACGCAAGGAGGTGCTATTCCTATTCTTCTTCTGGAAAAACGAAAGAGAGCTTCAAAACAGACTGCAGCGCCATCTGAAGCAAAGAGCATACTTCCTGCGGACACTTTTTTGGCTGAGTGGCCCATCTTGTTATTCACTATCTTTGGCATGGGCAAGCATGACCAAGTCGGGGGCCAGATTAAGCGATTCCGAATACCATGCGGGCTGAAAAGCAGAAAAAAAATTGGGTGAAACCGGGAAAGAAAATCCCAAATAGTAAGGGCGCCAGAACACAGCCTCGTTTTACTACACTCGTGACCTTAAAGCGGTTGGATAAGCAGCAATAAAATTGGATGTTTGCTTTAATATCATCGAAGAAAGACACATATTGCACAATGTTAGTGGGCATCTAATAGCCTCAAGTACCTTGTAAAGGCCTAATCTGCTAACTGTGTCAAATGCTCTGATGAAGTCAATAAAAATCAATGCAGAGTGGTCTCCCTTGTATCCCGTTAAGCTGTCGGATGACCAAAAAAAAATCATGTCAATGACTGACCTGTTGGCCCCGAAGCCATACTGAGATTCAAGCAGAACTCTGTCATCACGTTTATGAACGTTTCAAGATGACACGAATTTAAAAAAGCTAGGCCTGTGCCATTGAACAACAAGAAGCCATTGTAATTGCTACAATAATGCCCGTCCCCCTTGTTTTTGTTGAAGTTTATTATTTTAGTATCTTTTATATCTTTAGGAATAATGCCTTCGTTTCAGTGTGAGACAGGAGATCATGTCAGTATCGGATAAGAATGCTGTTGCTGGCATTTAAATTATCTGCTGAGATATAGTCGTTCCAGTTACTTTGCCACTTAATGTTTGAATTTGATATGATTGCATTGCTCAGTTCATGTACGCTTCACATCTTGCGTGAATATATCTGAGGAAATCATGGAAACGGACTTTCTGTCTCAGGACTGAATTCTTTTTCTGATGAGAATAATTCTGAGTTTTTCCAGCTATCTCCCAAGTGGGCTAGTCTTGCTCAGGACTGGCTCTACTTAATGAGCTAATTTTAGTGGGGCTATTTCTGTGACGAATAGTCTCAATGCGACTTTATTTTGGTTGTGCAGTGGTGGCAAACTATCGACACAATCGAGTGTCTCTTGCATTGGTAAGCATGGTTTCGTCCAATATTCATTTGCATATTATATGTTTTCCCAGCAGCTTGTAACGAGAGCTTTGACTGCTTAAAGTAAGAAATAGAACTTTCAATTTTGGCGTTATCAATGTGTTCCACATTGCAAAATCAGCTGTTTTTCTCACCTGATCTATCTTGGCCAGTTTAGTTTTAGTCAGGCTTTACGGCGCTCGCAACTGCATAAGGTCATATTAGCGCCAAG